AAAAGATTTTCCCTAAAAAAAAACAAGCCTCTCCCCAAAATAAAGAGATCATGACACAACCAACTGCGTGTCATCATTAACCATGTGCCGCTGCCAATCACACGCCGCTACTATTTGCACACCCGTTACAATCACGAGTCGAGTATGCTCTTGTGCGGATTTAGGACCGATTTGCAGTCCATTTTAACATAGGATGTGGGATATTCTATCATTTAGCCAATTCACGGGATTCTCAGGTTGATAATGAGCCAATTGGGTAATGTCAGGTGACCAAAAAATTCCTTCGTAGAGCCCACGGTGATTTTGATCGCTCTGTAAGCCGGTTTGAATTTTATAGCCGCATATATACAACCACCACTTAACGTTTTCAAGAAAATTTGAAAAACTGAATCCACCTTAATTCCTACATAATCTGGACTTATACATCTTGAGGTGTCATCGAACAGAAGATATATAATCATATCACTAAATTCCTTCGTATAGAAGTAGTTCGGTTCATTTGTTAAAAGAAGAACAAATAATTTTAGGATAAGAAAAATCAGTTTTCAAGTATTTTTAATACTTTCCTGAGAAAAGCTTTTTTCAATTTAGTTGGAGAAAAGAATAAATAAATGTTGCAAACCACATCTTGAGCTTCTTTTGTTTAAAAAGTACACGGGGGAACATGATTTCTTGATTTGTTCGCATATTTTAGGCCATAACACTGACATATCGTATTCTTTCACCACTTTTACATTTAAATGCTCTAACTTGTAAAAAGTACCCGTTCTGGTGTTTTCAATCGCCAAAGTGCGACCCTTTACTAACAACGGACATGTGTACTTCTGCATACAATGCCCTAATCAAATTGGCAGCCAAAGACCAGCAATGATTCCAACTTAGCCGACTCGTCGAGTCGATATTCCCTCATGTCGACTCGAATAGCGGAACTAGTCGACCCTCTTGTCGAAGACGACTCGCTACGAGCCCACTCAACCAATTATTCGACGTCTCACGAGGACGACTCGAAAAATGTTACTTCTCGGCAAATCTAAAGGACGACTTCAGCCTCGAACCTCCCCCGTTGACATCACGTCGGCGTCGCATTTAATGTTTGGCAGACGCGTCATACCTCTAGCCTCGATAGTCTTCATGACTAATCAGACCACGTCAGCACTGTCATACCGCATATCACATCTTATTTAATGCTGAGGTGATCTCTTCTCCACTCACCGACCGACACGTGTAAAGTAGGTACTGATGCAGCCGCCGACCCATACTTCTTAACCGCCATCATGCCCTCAGCCGAAGTGTCAATTCTACCCTTATACCATCAGTATAAATACATGTACTATTCTAACATAAAAAAAAATCCAGTTTCTGATCTTCTGCCATATTAGTTCTTTATTTTACCCACTCAAGTTCACCAGCTAATTTGATCGTCGGAGGAATCACGGGGAACCAGTCCCCGTCCTTTCACGAGTTTCTATATGTGCATGCTTCAGCCACTCCACTCAGAACCGAATATTCACGGAAGCAAGCGGCTCCTCATCAATTTCACCGTCATCCAACTATTTTTATTAATTGTGTGATCATTAACATCAACAGTAGCACTTTAATACTTTAATAAGTTATAAAAAACTAGCATCTTAGTATATCTCGTGTTAGTTTAAAGTGCTAGGGAATATACTCATGTCATTATTACCTGTCATTTTGTAATCGTCTTGACCCAATTTATTGTTATTTTACTATTTTACCTATCTTCTCTTTTAAGTCCTTCCGTTTATTTTTTGGCTTAACATCTTATTTTGTTCCCAATTTCCATCATTCTTCTTTCCCAGTTTCATGCACAAGGTAGAAATTAAGCCGAGAAGAATTGAGCTTTTCGGAGAGAGAATGATAAAAAAAAGGAATACACGTACAAGATGTGTTTATGCTTGTTGTGTTTTTTTGTGATATATATGTTGTTGGGTTAGTCTGAGGGTTTTTTCTTAATAGTTGGGATTGTGTCATTGTCCGATTTCAAATGAAGCAATTTATTTCATCATGCAAAGGTGTATGCCGCAAACTAGGTATTAATGAATGTTATTTGAACTTAATTTTTTTTCCTAGTAACTCATTCTTGCTTGCATCAAACAACAATATCACAAAATCATGGCATGATACACAATATCATAGTAATACAATGAGAAATCATACTGGTAAAATATGATGTAAAAAATAAAACACGATATGATTGAGACATAAAAATTATTGACATTGGTAATAATGCAAGTTCACAAATCAAACAAGTAAACCCCTACATCATGAAAGCTAGTTAACATTGCAAAGCAGTCATCCAGTTCACAAATCAAACAAGTCGGCATGAATATATGTTCACAAATCAAGCAAGTGAAATATGTGTAGATCCAAACATCCGCCAGGATGACGTGTAGGCAACATTTGAAAAGAAAAACTTATATCAAGTTGACAAAATTGAACCATCTTTATTGAGTCTGGATTCAAATCCACAAGCGTTACAAAATATTAAAAAAAAAAGCTTCACATTGATCGAGAAGGGGTTAATTTCAATTAAAGAAATGACAGAGGCACACTCTAAGGCACACCACCAATCACACTCCCTCTCTCTCTACAGTAAAGGGGACACCACATGTGATTTTTTAAAAAATCACATGTGGAGCCCCCTGCACTGTAGAAAGAGAGGGAGTGTGGTTGGTGGTGTGCCTTAGAGTGTGCCTGTAACGCCTCTCTTTCAATTAAGGTCTCATCTGAACAGATTTCTTAGTGTTGTTTATAGGATTTTAACGATAAAATATTTACGTGTTACTTTTTACAACTTAAGACCTAGTTTGAAATTTTCACCCCGCAACTCAGTAGCTGGCGCTCATCGTTTTTCCGAAGGAGGGGGCAGTTTGTAATAAAAGATTTTGGTAGAGGGGAAACACTATTTGACTCCGGAATTTATGGACGAGGGACCTACTGGAGTGGTCAATAGTTTGTCTACTGCCAACAAAAAGTGAAAAGTAGCTTCGAAAAAGAAAGGGCTTTTCGGTAGTAGTCCTTGACATCTTCAATATTTCTACATCAGTACTTTAAATCTTCAATATTTCTATATTACTGCCCTCAAATTATTGAAATTTCTATGAGGTCCCTCAAATTATCAGCTTTTTTAAGCAGCTTTTTCGTTACCCTTACGCACGATTGTAGCCGTGTACTGGCTTTAACTTTGTGTAGAGCTTTGGCTTTATAGCTTCTAAAGTGCCACGATCGAGGTTGTAGGCTCACATTGATGCGAGGTTGCGACTGTGTGCAGCTCTATATATGGCTCTAACTTCGTGTGGAGCTGTCGATCGATTCTATTCCGAATTGACATGAGGCTGTGGGCTCGTGTGGCGGCGCAAACTTGTAAGCTTTCACCGCCACGTACGATATTCATGTAAGCTCAGTGCATGGCGCGAGGTTGAAAGCTCGAGCCAATGTTAAACCTAGCTCGCTCGACTTTCTTACCTTAGAATTAATGAATCTTGTTCGGCTTTTGAAGCTGACGCGAGATTGTAATTAGCTCACGGCGCACATATATAACTCTGCACGTGTTGATGCCAAATTCAAGCTCTCGTCAACTTTGGAGAAGGCCACGTACGATATTCATGTAAGCTCAGTGCATGGCGCGAGGTTGAAAGCTCGAGCCAATGTTAAACCTAGCTCGCTCGACTTTCTTACCTTAGAATTAATGAATCTTGTTCGGCTTTTGAAGCTGACGCGAGATTGTAATTAGCTCACGGCGCACATATATAACTCTGCACGTGTTGATGCCAAATTCAAGCTCTCGTCAACTTTGGAGAAGCTATATCTCGGTAACCTAGCTCACATCGGAGCGAGGTTAGGTCTTCTATATGCACGCGCGGTTGAACTATTTACCTCCGTCCAAATTAACTCGATTGTTCTCTATAGTTTTGACGCTTCGCTGGACTACACTAGCTCTTCTATGATGGAAAAAGTCCACCGCTAGTAGAGTTGCAGTCGTCGTCGTCTTTTTGTAGTAAGAAGTTACAAAATATATATGATAGAGTTTACATTTGTTGATCTTCTTAACTTGAAAAAAAAAAAATTTACCAGCCATCCTATAAAAAAAAGTCACGAGTTATATTCTGGGAAAGTACCGACGAAGACTAGGTTCCTTGCTCCATTGACCACAAGAGCGTCACTGTTATTGAATCTTGTTCATTGTTGGAGTTTGAGGTTGAAGGGAGCTTCTTTGGCGCGGAACTCATCAGTAAGAAATCACCTCGGTGACAAGTATAAAAGTCGAGTTTTTGCGGCACGGCTAAGGAGGTGCTAAAACGAGACCAAGAATCAAGTGTTACATGGACATAACATTAATTACTCAAGTACCCAAAATAGGGGACCTAAGGCATGAGACATGTGATGAGTCACCATCCGGTTGCATGATGCACTGTTCATGAACAGTGCATCATGCAACCGGATGATGACACCTCACCTGTCCCATGCATTGGGTCCCTTATTTGGGTCCTTGTAGCAACACCCGGGGCATAAAAACTCTTAGTTCACAAGCTTTAGGCATGAAGGCTTGAGGTTAGCTCAGCATCAGTGGACGTGGTACAATGTTAGATCAACAACCACGAGGAAGCGCAAGGCTTAACTCTAACGAAGAAGAAGCGTGCAAATTCCCGATTATTCAACCCATCAAAAGTTGGTGGAGGGGGCCTATTAATAGGCAAAAATCTCGATCTGACGCGAGGTTAGGACTCACGTGAGGGTAGCTCAATCTTACAAGCATTAAATGTGGTCCCTTATTTGAATGAGTTGATGAGAATGAGCCACATTACTACCGAGCACAAAAACACATGATTAGTACCCAGTTTCTACATAAAATTAGAAAAATTAGGTTTTAATGTTGCGTGTGCAATGTTGCTAGTAAGAAATAACAATGTTCAACTTTTGATAAATTCATATTCAAAGAGGGTACGAACGCAAAACTACAGCCAGTTTTTATTCTTTCACCCCTTTGCCTCGCTCGTTCCTTCCCCCGTTCACTTTCAATTTCTTCGGATCCTAAAGAAACCCGAATCCAGCCGTTAGAGCTCAGATAAAAACAAAAATGCTTAGGGTTTCAGGACGGAGGCTCGCTTCTCTCCCATGGAGGCCGAGCGCTGCCGGGTCCATAGTCTCGAGAAATCCCATCACCGGACTCGATTCCTCGTCCACTGACGATTCGAGATCGGCCGCCGCGTCTCCTTATAGAATCGCAGTTGAAGCAGGGCTTTTCCGTTCGATGCGAGGTTAGGGTTCGCGTTTGTCGCTGTTTTTTTAATTTTAATTTTACCAGATCGACTGCTCTGTCAAATGTATTTGTTAGTTTGAAAATTGCTACGGATTCTAGGGTTTGTTTCCTTTTTTGTGGATCCAACTGTCTGATGATTCTTTTCCTGTCCCTGTTTGGTTTGTTTTAACTTTTCCAGTTCTAATTGCCTAAGTTTGTAGCTGAATTAAGGTTAGCTGAATCTATCAAGATCATTGTTTAGGGGTTCTTCAATCTTCTAAATTACTTTTAGTTATTAGCATGAGGACTACTGGAGGGTAATCAGAGCTATGCACTTTTCCCATCGGCTTGCAGGAAGGATTTTATCTCTTTGCATGCCATTTTGTTTACATACGATTTTAGTTCACTAGACAAGAGAGCAATGCTCTTCAAAATCGAAAGGCATATGAATTTTAAAGAATCTAAAAGCTTTGGAACTAGCAGGAGTTAAAATGGAATTTGTGGACTAATTTTTTTGCTTGATATGGCTAGAGAGGATGCTCTTGAAAAAATAGAAAGGCCTATGGAAATTCAAGAATCTAAAAAGCTTTGGAATTAGTAGGAATAAAATGTGGACTATCTTTGACAAAGACGAGGAGAAGAAATAATAGATTATTTCAAATTAATTAATAGCCAAGCAAAGACTAGGCAAAAAAAAAAAAAAAAAAATCTAAGAGTTGTTTTAGTTACTTTACATCACCTATTTATCATGATCATGAGATTGAGGAGGATGTTAACCATAGAATTCAATTGTGATTATTGGAGTGGAGAAGTGTTATTGAACTAATGTGATTGGAAGCAAAGAGAGCAATTGAACCCCATGATCAATGTGAGAGTAGGATAAACTGAAATAAATAATCAAACTACACAATCAATCGCAATCGGACTTTCAAACATCCACGAGCAAAGAGGGATCTTTTTGCTATATGAACGAGAAACTCAAAGCTTCCACAATGTTTGAGACGTTGACAAATAGATGAAAAAAATTACAAGGGTTACCTTGCAAATTGGGTGGAAACTAACCAAGTAATTAACAAATAGTTTGTGAATTATTCGTCAACTTATTCGGTCATTTACTATTAAACGAATATATTTTAGTATTCGGTTCATAGACAAATAGAATTAAACCAAATGTATATTCGATTCATTTGCTTATTGAATATTCGTTTATGTTGTATATATTTAGTTGTGCAAGCTTAATTTATTACAAACTCAAAGCATATTTATGTAGATATAGAATCATAACAAAAATATATATATTCAAATTGTTAAAAAAAAGAAGGCCCAAAGTGGGGCTTGAACCCGCTATTTCAAACAAAAAAAAGGAAGTCTCCTAGGCTGGTGAAACATATGTTAATAGAAATGATACATTTCAAACCCAGGTAGAAATAAGGAAAAGAAGTTCAGGGTGGGCTCCGCATAAGACCACCTACGTAAAAACTTAATGGCTCATCAGCTAGGCTAGCCGAATATTCCAAGAATAATTATTTGAATTGAATTTGAATATGGTTTTCATATTCAAATTGGATTCAAACTCAAATTTGAATAATTCAAAATGAACCGAATTTGAATTCGAATATCACTCTATTTGATTCGATTCAGTTTGTTTCCACCCCTACTCACAAGCAACAAACCCGAAATCCACTTGTATGATCTCCTTTAACCAAGAATAGAAGGAACAAAAAGTCGAAATATCCAAGATTGTAAAATGTTGAACAAAAATCAAAGAAGATAGTGTGCACTTCTTTGACCCTAGTTGCTTCCCCTCTTTCTCTTATTTTTTGCGCTCCCGAAACTTCATACTGAGCATGACAATTCAGAATTTATCAATCCATTCTTTTATCCCATGTATGATGTAAGTCTGGACATAACTTAAGCGAGTTAAAGAAACTCGTACTCAAGTTGTCATATCACTTGATCAAGCCAATTCCAGAGACCAAATAGTGATCAACTCTTGGGTATGGACTCAAACCTAACAATTGTGGGACTCATGTGAGATTGAAGGAACATTTTTGTAGATTGGCTATATGAAGATTTATGAGTCAAAGTGTGAGGCAATTAAAAAATATGTATAAAAAAAGAGTAAATGAGGTTTTGAAGTGCTAGTGGTGAGACAGTGGAACATAGGATGCAGATGATTGTATTTGTAAGAAGTTGTACCGATCAAGTAGGGGACTAAAGTTGGGAAACTTGGTCGGCATTTTACTAGTAAGACCATTTCATGCATCCATTGTGTTATGTATTGGGAAGAATTGTAGTCGATAAAACTAAACATTACATAAATGAAGGCAGATAAAATGGATAAAATGACTGTAATTTAATAAAGAAGACTGCACTTAACTGTACCCAGTGGAGAAAAGGTCATCATGTAGCCAATCCCAAAGATTTAGGATAAATATTTCCTTATGTTTGTTATTTTATTAATCTTTTAAATAGCACTTAAAGAACTTATCTGTAATATGCTTTATATTGGCACGTTTGGCGTCGCCTTTTGATGCATATCATGGACTTGTAGGAAGTTACTGAACATAGAATGCATCTGCGGTATGTAAGACGCATTTCTGGTGAACATATGTTGTTTAGTCGTCTGATATTTAAGAAAGTACATACAATTATGAAGCCATTATACACAGAATTTATTACTGTCCGAGCCATACTGTTTGGAATAGTTTTCTTGTGCTCTGCGGTCTTTTCCAATACACAGTAAATATGCTATTAGTTATTAATTATGGAATGCATCTGCGGTATCTAAGACGCAATACAAGTGAACATATGTCGTTTAGTCGATTGATATTTAAGGAAATACACAGAATTTATTACTGTCCGAGCCATACTGTTTGGAATAGTTTTCTTGTGCACTGCTGTCTTTTCCAATACACAGTAAATATGCTATTAATTACTAACTATGGAATGCATATGCGGTATCTAAAATGAAATACTAGTGAACGTATTGTGTTTAGTCATCTGATATTTAAGGAAATACGTACAGTTATGAAGCTATTATACTCAGAATTTATTACTGTCAGAGCAATACAGTTTGGAATAGTTTTCTTGTGCTCTGCGATCTTTTCCAATACACTAAATATGCTATTAGTCAGGGAGTTCTGTAAACTTTTTACTAAAAGAATGCACTATTTGTACTTCATGTAAGAACTGACACCCACTAATGGAATCATTATGCACTGTTGTTTATACGCATGTACTTCCATATGCAAACTATAACAAACACTCGATAATCCTCCTCTAATTGTAGGTTTTTCTTCTGAAACTCTCATCCCACGGCAACCACAGGACCTCGGTTTAGCTGATCTCCCTGCAACTGTTGCGGCTGTCAAGAACCCGACCTCAAAAATTGTATATGACGAGTACAACCATGAGCGATTACCTCCTGGTGATCCCAGCAAGAGAGCCTTCGCCTATTTCATCCTCACCGGTGGCCGCTTTGTCTACGCTTCACTCCTCCGCCTCCTTGTCCTCAAGCTAGTCCTCAGCATGTCAGCAAGCAAAGATGTTCTCGCTCTAGCCTCTCTTGAAGTCGATCTCTCCAGTATCGAACCAGGATCAACTGTGACAGTCAAGTGGAGGGGAAAGCCAGTGTTCATTCGGAGGAGAACCGAAGATGATATTAAGTTGGCAAATAGTGTTGATGTGGGCTCGCTCCGTGATCCACAAGAAGATGCAGCTAGGGTAAAGAACCCAGAGTGGCTTGTCGTTGTGGGTGTTTGTACACACTTGGGTTGTATTCCCTTACCAAATGCTGGAGATTTTGGGGGGTGGTTTTGCCCGTGCCATGGATCACATTATGATATTTCTGGAAGGATTAGGAAGGGGCCCGCTCCGTTTAATTTGGAGGTGCCGACTTATAGCTTCTTGGAGGAGAACAAGTTGCTGATTGGTTGAATGGCAGTCTCGGGGGTGATGATGATGACGATGGTCTTTTCTTAGTTATCTTTTGTTTCTATAAACAAAACTGGTGTTTTCTTGCTTCTTTTATTAAGATTAATTGGGTTATCCGTCGCGTTCTACTAACTTTGGCGTCTCTGCTGGTTTGATCTGATACGTATTTTCCGTTGGCTTTTAGGTATGCGTACCTTTCTATTGATTTTCGTCCATTTTGTCTATCTGTGTTAATAAGATGCTGAAGGCTCGTAAAGTTATAAACAATGTTTGATGCTAATCATGGCATTCCAGTGAGATAGTATTAGTTATAAACAATGTTTTGACAGGAAATATTCCATATAATGTGAAAGTAACAATTCAATGAGTTTATATCACTGAATTAATTAGGAATTCCTGCCGGCTCTTGGCTTATAAATATTACATGTCATGTGAGTACAAAAAATGCACTGAGTTATCCATTGTCTGTATCTTCCACAAGAAACCAACAAACTGGACATCCAGTTTACATAACTAAGAGCAGAATACAGCAATCTCTTGCTCTATGATCTAAAGTTCAACAAATCACTCCTAAGAATCCGTACAATAGCAATAAGAATACAGTGGTGGATAAATTACATTAAATAAGCTGTGATAGGAATCTGAAGCTGCTCTTCTCCTAAAATTTGCTCATCTGCAGCGTGTAATTAGGCTTCAGGCGCCAATAGGATCAAGTTGCAGCTTTCCACCGTAGATTTCCGGGAGCTGGTCTTCTTCAATATCTCCTAAAAGTGTTGATTTCAGATTCTTGTCCTCCACGAACACAAACTGCAACAAAACAAAGAAATCAAACAGAGACTTGTTGAGAAAAGACTAAGCACTGAGAAGCTACCTTCTTCCTGGTGTTGTTGTCAATGAATGGGTATATAATCTTCCATGCTTTCATGAAAAGATATGGCACGTGGATGATGAACACTTTGCCGAGCCTTTCTGGGTAGTAATTCTGTAATCCCTCACCAGCAGTTAGATAAATTCTTCTATAATAAGTGTATAATAGTTAAAAGGCTATTCTTCATGCACCGTGTAAATTGAGTATATGCGGACCAGAACTCTAGTATCTGACACAAAAGCAATGATGAGGTTCTCAGTCTTTTAACAGCAAATATGAGCTCCCTTTTGCAAATTTGTGTATGCTTTTGTTTAATGAAGAACCCACAGCTGGCTAAGTTTCATGTATTTATCAATCAATTTATCAGTAAAACTAACTTCTTGTTTCCACTGCATGCTCCGGTATAGACAATAAAATTTTTCTTCCACATTATTAAAAGGTGGTGATATGACGATAAATTTGAGCAAAGATTTATGGTTTTGTTGTTTATTTATGTATGATATAGCGATGAAGCTGTTCAGTGAAGACGATGTCTCTTCCATGTGTCCATAATATACAGCATATATTTAACAAGAAATCGGTATTTTATGTTTTTGAGGGAACTAGCCTGCATTATCTCTAGTGCAGCCAGATACGCACGAATATCGCAGTTTGAGTATCCCCATCCTTGAAAATCTGCAATGGCAACAAACATCTCCTGATCCCTTGGCATACTGCACAAATAGAAGCGGAGGTTTTCTAAATCCAAATCAAGACGCATGGCGGCTTAATATGTTAACAAGCTTCTTCCGTATATTTTCTTAATGAAATCCAATTATTTTTTTATGTTTTAGGGTCCATGAAGAAGGATCATTTCCATCAATGAGTTCTACATATATTTAACAATTCTCAACTATTGGATAATCTCTTCTACGTGTATCAAACATTATGTCTAAACTTTGAACATATTATTCTCACTTGGCATTAACAATTTTTTGACAATTTTCTCTTACGAATCAAAAACAATTTACACACAAAAAGTGTACCTGGCACTTAATTTCTCCAAGACGTATGCCACATAACCTGTGAAAACAAGAGATATCAACATTAGAACTCTCGATATGCTCAAGAAATCAAGGTACTTTTGCAAACTCTTCTAGAGAGGTATTCATACACTTGAATTCATCAAGGTTGCGTCTAGAGCTGTAATGCTTAGCTGCAAAGCCGACTACCAAAGGGCGACCCTTTTTATCGAATCCTTGCATGTACAACTTCTCTTGTTGCAGCTCGTTTTGTACTTGTTTGTATTCAATGAAACCATTAGGAATGGCTTCTCTTCGCCATTTGAGATACTTGAGGAACATGGCAGAAGCCTTTTCGATGTCTAGATCACGTGCTCTCAAGAATCTCCGTATCATAAAATTGTCTACTTCCTATATCAGAAAATAGTAAACTAAACACAAAAGAACAACCAGTAAAAGATGAGATCTATTGTGAAACTAATATGTTCATACTTCATATCATTGTATCAACTTCGTAAGGGTATTTGCTTTGGCTTGTTTGTGATGGAAAATGTTACAAACAAATATTTGGAGGGGTTGAGATTGAAACCAATGAAAGCTTTGAACCTACTATATATCCAATGCAAGTAATACGTTCATAGCTAAGTATCAACTCCATAAGGGATTTGCTTTAGCTTGTTTGTTAATCTGCGATGGAAAATGTTACAAACAAACATTTCAAGGGATTGAGGTTGAAACCAACGCAAGCTTTAAATATACCGATCAAAGACAAGTTTGTAATCGCGCGCGCAGCCTGATGTATGACTCTTGTGACGGCTGAGTTGAGGCATTACAAATAATCTATGGTTATAGAAAATTTGTAATGTTATTATATTTCATGTAAAATATCAAGCATCAAACTCAAGGATCTTCTAAAATATCCGTTATATGCGTGGGAGAGAATGGGGCAGACTTATATTTCTGTAATCCAACTTCAACCCGTTTAGAGAGCAGGATCTCTAGGCCACAGTTTACATCTAAACAAATTTCAATATGAAACATATGTTTTTAAGTTAAATGAGTAAAAGTGAAGGTAAAAGGTAGAAAAATGTATATCCATCTGTTTCTTTTGAGAGAACGGTTGTTTCATACATATACAAAGAATCGTATAAGAAGTAGAGCATATTCAATCGTATTTTATTTCCATTAGCTGATGATCTAGTCCACTCTTGGTAACATCCAAATCATGGATGACATAGATCCAAATTTAAAGTTGTGTTTTGGTGATCACTCGGCCTATGCTGGTGCCAGGATACCAAGTCCAAAGTCCAAACTTGCCACTGATAATAGTCGGTTGGGTCGTCTGGAGTGCACCTACGATCTACAATAAATGTGGAAAGGTACTACACTCCGGCTAGACGAGACTGTTTTAGGATCTAGACTATGCCGAGGCTGTAGGCTAGCACCTCTGTGGAGATTCAGTCTGAATTCTGAAGTGCTGGTTCTGGGCATTTTATATGTATGTCTCCTGGCAACCAAGGACTATATACCTACTGAGGTCTGCCAGGATGGCTGAGTGGGTATACTCTCCGCCCAATGGTCCCAACTTCTAATAGTAATATCCTGCCAGCTTTTTCAAAATTTTAATGGATTTATGGTGAGTCCCAATTTCTGGATTTTTTTGGAGAAATTTTCAAAATGAGCAAAATCGACCTTCTCAAAATAAAATTAGCATTTTTGACCTTTTTTTTGTCAGCTAGCAAAAAATAAGTTGAAATTGCAAGAGTAAGCTAACATAATTACACATGACTAGTAGTCTCGTGTAATTACAATAATTAATCTCCCCCATAGCTCCCGTGACCCCTCTCTCTCGTGGCCCTACTTGCCACACACACTACACAACTCTCTCTCACCCCATTTCGCCACCCCCCCCCATGCACACTTGCTCGCCTCCCTACTTGTTCACAACGGCCAGACTTCTCTCCGTCGCCGCCGCAAGCCGCACCACAGGCCGCCGCGTGCGGCATCAATGCGTCTCCTACATTCTCATCGCGGCATCTCCACTCTTTTCTACCGTCTTCTGCTACTGCCGAATTCGCGTTACCGCGAGATCCCTACGCTGGCGCTCGTTCTCACGTAGCCGTCTGCGTTGAGCTTGGTGACTTCATAGCCTTCATCACCGCCACCAACATCCTCCTTGAAGCCCTCATCGGAGCCGCCGGCCTCGCCCGATCATGGATTTCGTACTTCTCTGCTCTCATCAACCTCGACCCCGATGCGATCACCATCATCGCCTTCGTCATCACTATGGGGGTCTGTCCACTTGAAGATGGCCAGTTTGCGTTGTATTTCTGGATGCTTAAAACACGAGGCTATCAGTCCCGTGTAAATTAATGAGCTGATTAGTAGCCACTAATTACACGGAACTACTCGACGGTCGATTTTGCTCAATTTTTTCAAAATAGGTCGATTTTACCTATTAAGTTTAAAAAACGGTTCATTTTAAAAATTTCTCTTTTTTTCTTGAAAGGTTTGAGGCATGACGGCTCCAACTTGAGCACCCATGATCAAGATTCCCCATAACCCAAAAAAAATAAAAATAATAAATAAGTAAAAATAAAAAAGAAGAGGACCGTATCCAAGTTCGAAGTATGTAGCCCAAAGGACACCTTTTGCGGCAAAATTAATCCATAAGTCCAAGGGTTAACCCACCAGATGTATTAAACAACTTTAATTCTGATCAACCGAATTGATCCAATAGAGCCTTAGAACCCCAACAGACGCATGCCTGCATACAAGAAGCTCAACCTTTTCCAAAATGAGGATTATTAGATTAATTATGGTTCGGTATTGCCTTCATCAAACCTCTCGAACTCTCTAGAACTCTAACATGGTAAAAATGTTCCTTACCGCAGGTACTAGTTAATTTTGCAAGTAAATATATATTATAAGTGTAATAGTTTGAAACTTCACTCAAATTAGCAATCCTTATAAATGAACATAAATCTAATAGAATGTAATTTATTATGAGCCAATTATTTCAAAAATGAAATCCTGAGTGTTTTCAACGTGTTCTATAGCCATGCTTTCATATGCTGTCAAAATTCAAAATTTCAGGATTTCTAGAATCTCAGATCTACTACAAATCAATGCTTTAACAAAGAGCATGTTTGACAACATACTTATTATTAGTTATAAGTATCTTTGTACTTATAAAGTGTCAAAATCATATTTGGTAAGAGTTTACTTATTATTTATTTCTAACTTGTAAGTAGAAGAATTTTTTTTAGGGTTCTCCGACTTATTTTTTGGCCACTTATAAGTAGCTTTACATGTTGACATTAAAGACTATCTCGTCCTCTAATAAAATAATAAGTGGAAAAAAAGTAATAAGTCACTTATAAGTAATTATGAAATAAGTAATAGCAAAACATGCCCAAAGGTCACACTTGTCCTGGTAAATTCTAGCAGACACGCAAAGCCTACCTCAAGTCCAAGGGCCCAGTTACTCTCGGCGAGCTCAGCTTTTAATAATGACTAGTTTTTACACACGTGCAATGCACGTGATTTAATACCATGATTAAGTATTTTTGGCAGTTTGTGCTCATTTTTTTTCTTTAAACTCTTACATCCCGATTATTTTTTTATGTTTGTTTAAATGGGATACACCCAATTTAAATTTTCATGTTGATATTTGAATTGACAAAAAACAAATATAATTTAAAAATAATTTGAATTTTCATATTATTTTTGACCGATATGAAACTAAGCTTTATTTGAGAAAGTATAGCATTGCAAAGTGAAAAATATTAAAATAGTGTTATACAAGGAAGGTGAATATTTAAAACCAATATGGCAAAATGATTGATTTAAAGTATGTTAAAACGATGCAAAAGAGAATATGAAGTTTATTCCTAATCATTGATAGACTTCATAAAAAAATATAAATTAAAGATTAATGCTAACTCTAGTATACTTTTATATGATAAAAACATCCACATAAGAATATAAAAGTACTGAAAAAAATTCATGAAACTCCCTTCTAAAGATTCCTAATTTCACTCAAAATAATTAAACTATTCTATAAAATATTCATAAAATATTGTTTTTATTTCTTCTATTTTATTTTTTATTGAGTTAAGATCAATCCTTCTTCAGGTTTATCATTTATCATTTCTCGGACAATTCTAGAGTATTGTCTTCATCATCTACATCAATTGTGACATCAGGCTAATTTTGTATTTTTTATGCTATTATCTTTCCTGGGCTCGTTAATTTTTTATCATCTCATTTAACTTTACAAAGAAGTCAAATGTACTTATGATGTTCAACACAAACTGCTCAAAATATAGACTTTGATTTTTTTTTCTATTTCAATGAGAATAAATATTAATTTCATATATATAAAATTCTTTGTGTTCCTAATTTATTAAATAAATTAAATTAGAAGTTATCTCTTTATTTTCCTCTAAAATGAATTCTTCTGATGTGCATCCAATAATAATTTTTGTTATTTCAATAATATTACCTTTGCTCTATCCCTGTCATTTTCCATAAAGATCTAAACTAAATACCTGCATTATTCATTATCAATTTCTCTTAGATTATAACATTAATATTTAATTTGAAGAACAGAGTATGGAATTTATGAATACTTACTAATTTTTCTTATGTCTTCCATGGAGATTTTTTCTTTGATTAGGATAAAGTTATTAAATTATTTTTTAATGTAACTCATTCAGTGCTTCATTAATAGATATGTCTTATGTTAATGCCAATTCAAGTGATTCATTGACGTTTTCTGAATTTTAGATTTATTTCCATCACTTTCCCATTTGCAATGGAAATAACTCAATTCTTTTAAAGTTATCTCTAAATATTCTAATAGTTTCTCCATATGTAATTCCTTGTATTCTTTTACCCTATAAATATTATTAACGTCAAAGATTAAAGTTTCTAAATTAAAATCAATTAATGCTAAGGTATAATATTATAGTGTTTTATCATTTCTATGGATTTAAACATCTATCAATTAATGTTACGAATGTATTTTGGCTACCCCAACTTATTACTAAAATTATATGAAATTACTTTAATTTATATAGTGCCGATAATTTTTAATCTATAATATTTTTAAAAATTTTATCCATTAACCGGATGTTTTTAATCAATTCTTATTGTTTTTGTTTACCAGTATCAACTTAGACTATTCTTAGATGCTGAAAATGGATAGTAAATCCCTAAATTAGAAATTTTAATATATATATATATATATATATCTATCCCTGTCATTTTCCATAAAGATCTAAACTAAATACCTGCATTATTCATTACCAATTTCTCTTAGATTATAATATTAATATTTAATTTGAAGAACACAGTATGGAATTTATGAATACTTACTAATTTTTCTTATGTCTTCCATGGAGATTTTTTCTTTGATTAGGATAAAGTTATTAAATTATTTTTTAATGTAACTCATTCAGTGCTTCATTAATAGATATGTCTTATGTTAATGCCAATTCAAGTGATTCATTGACGTTTTCTGAATTTTAGATTTATTTTCATCACTTTCCCATTTGCAATGGAAATAACTCAATTCTTTTAAAGTTATCTCTAAATATTCTAATAGTTTCTCCATATGTAATTCCTTGTATTCTTTTACCCTATAAATATTATTAACGTCAAAGATTAAAGTTTCTAAATTAAAATCAACTAATGCTAAGGTATAATATTATAGTATTTTATCATTTCTATGGATTTAAACATCTATCAATTAATGTTACGAATCTATTTTGGCTATCCCAACTTATTACTAAAATTATATGAAATTACTTTAATTTATATAACGCCGATAATTTTTAATCTATAATATTTTTAAAATTTTTATCCATTAACCGGATGTTAATTTTTAATCAATTCTTATTGTTTTTGTTTACCAATATCAACTTAGACTATTCTTAGATGCTGAAAATGGATAGTAAATCCCTAAATTAGAAATTTTAATATATATATATATGAAAAATACCAAACAATTACACTTTTCTTTGCCAAGTTTTAAAATTTTAGCCCATTTTTGTGGTTTTGAACTTTGAGGGTGTGATTTGTAATTTTTAAAATTTTGAAAGAGTTTTTAAAAAAATTTACTTTTAAGTTTGGTAGTTGTAAATTCTATGTTTCATGTGTTGGTGGTAATTTTTTAAATGTTAGTATATTTCTTGTAACTCTAAAATTTTGAGAGTGTCTTTTATAATTATTAAAACTATAGATTAATTTTAAAAAATATTAAATTTCAGCGGTCTACAAATTGACGAATTTGATGTGTGCTAGTTAAAATTTTTGAAAATTTAGAGTTTTTTTACGATTTTTAATTTTTGAAGGAGTTTTAAAAAAATTTTGAGGTTAATTTTGGCAAATTTTAATTTGTTAGGTGTCTAAGGGTAATATCTTGAATTCATCTTATTTTATTTACAAATTTTAGAATTTTAGAGTGGCTTTTTATAATTTGAACTTTTGAAGGTGTTTCTATAATTTTTGAGATATTGAGGGTGTTAATTAAAAAATTTAAATTTAAATGTCAAAAATTTTAGGTGTATCATGGTAATCTCTTGAATTCATCTATGATGTTTGTAAGTTTTAAAATTTTAGAATTTTAATGTGCTTGTTTGTAATTTAAACTTTTGAGGGTGTTTCTATAATTTTTGAGACATTGAGGTGTTAACTGTAAATTTTAAATTTTTTGCAAACTGATGTTAATTTTTTAATTTCATGTTTTTTATTTTAAGTTTTGAGACATTTGGATGAGTTTTATAATTTTGAATTTTTTAGGGTCTTTTCTGCAATTTTAAAACTTTTTATGGTTTTTTTACAATACTTCATATATTATAATATGTTATCTACTTGTAATTTCTTTATCTTAACAAACTAATATCATTTTTATGTTTTATATATTTTATTAATATTTTAGTTTTTTAAATTGTTAAGCTAAACATGATTCACATAGGATTAGGATAAGATATGATTATGATTAGGATAGATTAAGATATAAATAAAATATTCAAAATAGTGAAGGGTAATATTGACCATTGAAAATTAGAATTTGATTATAGATAAGGGAGTTTAAACTATAAAAGAGTATATTTGTCTAAAAAAGATTTTTCGAACTCGTGCTTTTAAAGGGAGTATGATTGGGGAGCTAATTAACACTCCCCTAATCACTCTAGCCCATTTGAAAATGTTCTTAATAGAGGAATTTTTGTTTTGGTTGTTTTATATTTTATCCCCACAAAATTCAGTCATCCCTCAACTTTATTCTCCATCCTAACTTTTACGGAATGAAATTAGAACATTCCTTTAAAATAATAATTTTAGGAAATAACGGAAGCATATTAGTTAAATTAACTAAATTAAAAATAATCACTCTTAATATTTTTACAATACCATTAAAGGTGATTCGGTAGAGTAAAGATGAAAGAGGAAAGAAATGAGTGAAAATTGTTATCAATAGTGTTTTAGCGATTGCAATATTAATTTTTAAAATTCAGTCAAATTAATTGCGACGTTTTCAGTTGATTCGAAATCAACCACCCAGAAATTCTAAATTTATTCCCTAAAAGTTAGAATGGCGTAAGAGCAAGTGCAGCAAGCTCCCAGTTGGGAGTCCTAATCAGCAAGCTCCCAAGAGCTCTCAAGACATGACCCACCATTTTCAATGCCACATCACCCTCCTAACTAATTCAGCAAGCTCCCAAGAGCTCTCAAGACATGACCCACCATTTTCAATGCCACATCACCCTCCTAACTAATGTTGATCTCCAACAAACTCCTAGTTAGGAGCTCCACAATATCAAAAAAAAAACCCTCTTCTATTTTAGTTTTGTAACAATATCAAAAAAACCCCTCTTTCATTTAACAATTATTTTCAACTTGGGTTTTGGGTTTAAAAATAGAGGGGGTTTTGTAAAAAAAAATTTTTTTAATGCTTGGGAGCTCCCAAGAGCTCCGGTGGGCCCCACTGGCCACATCAACTCAGGGAGCCCCTTGAGAGCTTGCTGGGAGTTTGTTGGAGGGGGACTCACAAGCTCCCACTGCCACGTAGACCTTGAGAGCGGTGGTGGGAGCTTGGTGCACTTGCTCTAACATCGAGCGGTGACAATAATTTTGGATAAATAACAATTGTGATGATCTGCAAGGATTTTAAAAGTACCTACGATTTTGGGGGTATGTATTTAAAAAAAAACTTTATTTTCATGCATTCAAACCTACTAATTCTACTCTCATAAATTCAAGCTGTTTCCTAATTAGATATCGCAAGTGTTAAAACACTACTGATAACAATTTAACAGTTTAGATTAGATGATATAAAAATTAGATTAGTCAAAAGTAAAGATTAGATGATATGCAAATTAAGTATTTCCAAACGGCCGTGTTGATTGATGAGGAATATTTTCGATTGGAATCAGGAAGTAGCGTGACTCGCACCTAAACTTTCCAATAGTTAATTTCGAGACTCTGGTACAACTAACAACACCTACAAATAAATAAAGAAGAAACTTTCTAAATAAACTAATTCATATTTTTTTTTTCTAAAAATAGACACTCTTGAGTTTTAGTTATAAAAATAGACTCATTTTATCTTAATCCGATTTCTAAATAGTCGGGATTGTCAGCCCCGGCTATTTAGGAGGTTGTAGACCCCCAATTATAACCCTAAACTTTAACATTCTATGCACTAAATAGTTGGGGTTGGCAACCCGGTTATTTAGAAACCGGATTAAGACAAAACGGGTCGGTTTTTGTTAAAAAATAACTAAAGGGGGTCTATTTTTAGAAAAAAAAATTATGAATGGGTTTGTTTAGAAAATTTCTTCAATAAATAAACAAACAAAAAACAAATAGAATAAGCTAAGAAAAAGAAGATGGGAATGGGGGAGAGGCGAGACCTTGGCTTGTGGATCTTGGCCCTCAACGACGACCCTCATCAGATTCACCTTCTTCCACTCAATCTCGTCGCGGTTGCCGGTGTCTTCACCTCCATTTGCTGTTGATGGACCAACTGATGTGTTTCCTTCTGAGCTCATCTCGAGCTGACTCTGCTCCTCTCATCTCTCTCTCTCTCTCTCTCTCTCTCTCTCTCTCTAGAATCGACTTTCAAGATCTGGGATCAGCAGGAACCAAGTAAACAAGCGGGGTGGGGGTTTGGGAGGGGCAGCAGATTAATGGAGAGCGGTGGGAGACAGCGAGAGGCTTCGTGGATGAGTGACGAAAGAACGCGCATGTTTCACGCTAGCAGTAAATATCCTACCAGAACCATCACCGGTAGTACAGGGATGTACGTCATAAATAGTGATTAGTCAAACTAACAATTATCATATTGAACGGTATAGATCACATTTTGTATATGGTATATTAAATAGATTTTTCTATTATATTAAATAGATTTCTGTTGAGCGTACTCAACCAAGAATGGAGGGACAAATTTTCAAAACCAACCCTTTTGGTTTTTTATTTGTAAAAAACAACGACCTATTTCAGTTTTATTTGTAAAAACCGACCTGGTTTCAGCCTCAGCGCTGAAACCAGGTCGGTTACTCCCGTGAAGTTTAGCAGCTTAATTAAAAGCTGTTAAACTTCACGGGAGTTCAACTCCCGTGAAGTTTCGAAAACTTTTTTTCAAAAGCCGACCTGGTTTCAGCGCTGAGGCTGAAACCAGGTCGGTTTTTACAAATATTTTAAAAATAAGTCGTTTTTTACAAATAAAAAATCAAAAAGGTTGGTTTTGAAAATTTGTCCAAGAACGGAGGGGACTGCACCCCAATTCACATGGAATTAATATGCATACGTAATATACTGACCTTTTTTATTCTATGTATACTTTTCAACCTAAGTTTGCTTTCTATTAGAACTGCCCGCGAGTGAAAGGTGGTTCTGTGCCCTCAATAAAATTAACTACAACCCTGCTATTAGGCTCGCGGTTAGACCGCGAGCCAAATAGCTTTTTCGAATTAACTATAGGGGCAACCTTAGAATTTTTCCCACAGCATGGGGCTCAGAACCACCCTTTGCATATAGGTTGTCCAGATTGGATGAGTAGTCTGTCCTTCAAATTGGTCATATAATCAAAATCAACCTTTACATCTGACCTTATTAATACCCCCCCAATTCTCTAATATTGATTTAAGTTGCCTTAAGACTTCACGTGAGGGAATGTTCACAACATATCTACCAATTTTATGTTAAAAAGTTAGAGAAATTTATTACAAGGGAAAATTGATCTCTTGGCCATGTATTTCACCTATTTGTTGCGCGCAGCGGAAATTTCGGCAGCACATCGGCAGCACAACAAGAGAGTCAGGTCGCAACAGGAATTCTCTTTTCACCAAGGAAACAAGAACCAAAAGTAAAATATCTCAACAAGGTGGGATATCAGCTCTTCATCTCATCATTTCTAGGACTGACCTATCGAGTGAACCTAAATAAGTTATTACAAATCCACAAACAGCGAGACAAACTAATTTTACGTGGTTCACCTACGTCCACGGGGCAAGGAGGGGGGAGATCTACTATTAGAGGAAGAGAATACAACTATGGTTTACAATCTTATAACCTAAACCCTCAAACAAACTCTCAAATCCCTCACAATCTCTCTCTACAAAAGGATGCACAAAGAACTAGAAAAGACAGTTGATTTTTTTCTTCTCTGTTTTTGCTTGCGCTTTTCTCCTGCAGCCGCACACCAAAATTTTTTTTTGCACAAAACCCTCTTTGCACCCAGCCGCAACCCCAAAAAGAAAAAGTGATGACGTTGTTCCTTTGCCCACTTTTGCTACACGAAACCCTAGGCTAGATATAGGCAATTCTCGGGTGGGCCTTTTGTTCAGTCTCCACAATGAAGAAACGCGTTTTTTTTCAAAGCTTGCATGTGGGTGGCCCCACTTCCTATCCTCGTTCACAATTCTCCACCTCGGCGAAGTTTTCCCAAAACTGAGCCTACACCAAAGCATCCAAATGTCGGTATCTACTCACCAAATCGGGTGCATCATTAATGACTGTCTATATATCCTCTTGCCCAAGGAATCAAGTCTCATGTAGTTCACCCAAATGGCCACCAACGGCCTCAACAATCACGAATGTGCAACATGTTTCAATAATGATCAAACTTGTTGCTCGGAATCACCTTAGTGAGCATATCCACCGGATTATCCTTCGTGTGGACTTTCACAATCTTCACATCGCCATCTTCAAGAATATCCCAAACGAAGTGATAACGAACATCAATGTTCTTCGTCCTCGTATGAAAAACCTGATTCTTCGCCAAATAGATAGCACTCATGCTATCACAAAAATAGCGACAGACCATTGTGATATACCAAGTTTCTCTAAAAGTCCTCGAAGCTAAATAGCCTCCTTCACAGCATTCGTAACCGTCATATACTCTGCCTCCATCGTAGAAAAAGCTACCGTCGACTGTAAGGTGCATCTCCAACACACCGGCGTACGGATCAAAGTGAACACATACCCCGTAGTAGACTGGTGCTTATCCAAATCCCCGACATAATCCGAATCAATATAGCCAATGCACAACTACCCACCTCTAGTGTCCCGCTCATAAACTAAACCAACATTGAGTGTACCTCAAATGTACCTCAAAATCCATCTCACGGCGTCCCAATGACCCACTCCTCGATCGTGCATGTATCTCGATATCATGCTCACCGCCTGTGATAAATCCGGTCCCGTACATACCATCGCGTACATCAAGCTCCCAACCGCGCTCGCATATGGAGTCTTCGATATCAACTCTCTATCTTCAACTATCTTCGGTGAAAGGTCAGCTGAAAGTTTTAAATGGGCTCCCAATGGTACACTAACTAGGTTTGTATCCATGCTAAAATGAAATCGCTGTAAAACCTTCTTTAAATAAGCCACCTGTGTCAAATAAATTCTACCATTCTTCTTGTCTCTGTCGATCTCCATCCCTAAAATACGCTTTGCCTCACCCAAATCTTTCATCTCAAACTCCTTTGAAAGCCGTGCCTTCAACTCATCTATAACAGATTTGGAAATAGAGGCAACCAACATGTCATCGACATAAAGTAACAAATAGATGTACGCACCTCCTTTCAACTTGCGAAAATATACGTAAGGATCAAACTGGCTCCGAGTGTACGAATGACCAATCATAAAACTATCAAATCGTCTATACCACTATCGAGGAGACTGCTTCAAACCGTATAACAATTTCTTCAATCTGTAAACTAATTTTTCCTTCTCTACAGCTCGGAATCCTAATGGCTAAGTTATATATATTTCTTCATATCACTATGAAGAAAATATCATTTTCACATCCAACTGATCTAACTCCAAATCATATTGTGCTATCAAAGCTAGCAAAATCCGAATCGAAGAGTGCTTCACCACCGAAGAGAAAACCTCATTATAGTCAATACATTCCTCCTGTACATAGTCCTTCGCAACTAACCTAGCTTTGAATCTCAATGGAGTGCCCTCAATGCCCTCCTTCTTCATGTATACCCACTTACAACCAATTGCCTTCTGCTCCTTTGAAAGCTCAACAAGCTCCTACATATCATTCTTGTGAAGAGACTCCATCTCCTCCTACATAGCTACCTACCACGAATCAGCCTCCGAACTCTGCTCAGTCTCTTTGAATGTAGTAGACACCAACTCATCGATACTCTCTACCAGAAGTGCATATGTAATTATTGTATCGGTATACCGCGCTGACATCTGTATGTCTCTCCTCTGTCTCCGAACCACAATAGAATCATGAACCTGAGCCGTCGGTCCCTGATCCTGCACATCAGTACTCGTATCCTCCGTGTCACCGTCATGCTCGCTTGGCGTCACCTCAGTCAGCACTCTAATGGATACTACACCATCTGGACACTGTGGAGCTGCATCGATCTCCATCACCTGTGCTATCTCCTCTGTCGGGTCGCTCTCCACCTGATGAGAGCTGGGAAGCTTTAAGATAGAAACCTCATCGAATGTGGCGTTCCTACTCAACATGATCTTTCTATCAACTGGATCCCATGGCTTGTATCCCTTGACACCACGCTTGAATCCTACAAATATGACCTTCTTAGTTCGAGGTTCTAATTTATCTGTTCTCACATGATAAAATGTAGGGCACCCAAATACCTTAAGCTAGTCATAGTCATGTGCTGTCTCTCCCGATCATATTTCCATAGGGGTCTTTCCCTCAATCGTAGATGAAGGCAGCCTATTAATGAGGTGACTCGTATATGTAAGTGACTCAGCCCAAAAGATCTTCTCCAAACCACTCTGCGATAATAAACATCGGACCTTCTCCAGCGAAGACCGATTTAGTCTCTCTGCCACCACATTCTGCTGCGGTGTATGACTAACCGTGAAGTACCTCTCTATGCCCTCGTCTCGACATAGCTGCAGAAAGGGGTTTGATGTGTACTCGCTGTTGTTGTCAGATCGTAACGTCTTGATCTTTCTCCCAGTCTGTAGTTTCAATCTCTTCTTTCACTCCACGAATATATCTAGGACTTCACTCTTCTTTTCCATGGTGTACACCCAACATCGTCTAGAATAGTCATCAACAAATGTGACGAACCAATATCGACCACTAAGTGATGCAGTCTTGGTGAGACCCCAAATGTCTGTGTACACGTAGTCTAGGATGCCCCTCGTCCTATGAATGGCCATCCCGAACTTCACCTTCATCTTCTTGCCAAGAACATAGTGCTCATAGAACTTAATTTTTTCACTCTTGGCTCCCTTTAATAGCCCATGCTTGCACAAAGCCTCTCTTGTATGCCCTAATCTATAGTATCAAAGTCTACTCATGTCCGTATCTAAAATAGCTGAAGCTATCTGGCCAATTTCGGTGCTCCCCTTCAGATAATACAAGTTTTGACTGTGGAATCCCTTCATTACCACCAAAGATCCCTTAATAACATTTGTTACAACGTCTTCTAAGGTCACCTTGAATTTCTTTGCCTCCAAAGCTTCAAAAAAATAAGATTTTTCTTCAGCTGAGGAATGAATCTTACCTCTTTCAATTCACGGACTACTCCATCGTGCATCCAAATTCGCACGGTACCTATTCCACAAATGCCATAGGATTGATCATTTCTCATGACAACAACACCTCCATCGAGCTTCTCAAAAGATGCAAACCAATCTCTCCTAGGGGTCACATGATAGGTAGCGTCGGAATCAATCATCCAATCTGATGCATTC